CCAAACATGGAGCAGGCTTGCTGCATGTTAAACTGGTCCAATGACGCCCTCGTGGACATTCTGATTCCTCCTTCTCTTGGTTGGATAGAGTTTGGTTTGCATGTTGGGCACTCTTGGTTGATAAGAGAAAGTCAATTGACGGACCCATTCTCCCTCCGTAAAATCCATGCTTCTTCCCCGTAATCTTGTTCCCTATAAGACATGGTTTTAAATTCTATTCTTTAGCTAGGGAAAGCTGAACGACAGTCGTAAATTAGCTATAACCCTAAAATGGCTCGCTCTCAACATTCCTTTGCTGTGCTTGGTTGTTTGGTGGCCGATATCGTTTCACATAGATAATGGCTGGAAAAGGAAACGAGACAAGTCAAAGTCTTCATTATTTGTTTATTTTTAACTAAGTATGCTTTGTCAGTTCGTACTGCGATCTCTCTCGGCGAACCCTAATAGAGATCTTCCCTTTAGCTCTCTGCACTGGTACAGTTTCGAAACTGATGATTCAACTAGTGAACAAGGACTTACTTTTCCCAAGCAAAAGAAAATCCCAGGCATGGACATGGGTCTTCCAGCTTACCATTAGCCTCAACACTAACCTCCAGAGGCGAGGCGACAGTTTATTCCGGGGCCACGGACAGGGCTCGTAGTCAGCGTCAACATCTGGCTCCAATTGACCAGCACCCCCTTCCCCGGGCGAAGGAAGATGCTCCCACCCACCCAGACCTTGGCCATGGAGCATGTTTTCGGTCTGTGAACCATGTGAGCACTCAACAGGGAGGCAGTCAGCACCCACCAGCGCTGGAGCGTGAAGATGTCCATCCGTCGTATCGTCGTGAAGGTCTTGGGTCCGGACTGGGATGTCCCTCCCACGGCAAGTCGGTCGTCGTCGGGTCACGGGGTCTCGCGTATACCATATCCAGCTTCCCCCCCGTTTTCTTTTTATTTTTATTTTGCAACCAACAACGACCCAACAAGCTGATGCTCAGAAACGCGATGGATGGGACGGGCATGCTTGGTGCCCCCCACGCCCTGTTGGTACGTTTGTTACTTTGTGCTCTGTACTCCGTACGCATAGTACATGGATCGAATG